CAGTCAATCACATTTTCATCATTTGAAATTTGAAATAAAAAAAGGTAAAGAAAAAAAAAAAAAAATTTTTTTAAATAAAAAGAGCCTCCTTCGAGGATGTTAAAACAATTAATCCTAACCGGACCGGATGGAATAGTAAACCTGGAAAAGTAAACAAAACACCGTCGCATATACACATCCTATTCTCGGAGGTGAAAAAAAAAAAATTAACAACCTCTTATTTATAATTATAATATGTATGCAAAGTAAAACAAAAAAAAAAAAAAAAAAAAAAAAAAACTTGTACGCAATCATATACGAGAGAAAGAAATTTTTATTTGATTAGTGATAATTTATTTAAATTTTTAATAAATAACAAGAGTGATAAAATTAAAAAAAAATTGAGACAACGTTTGATTCGAGTTTTTCTTTTTTTTTTCTTTTTAAATAAAAGTGCCCGTACCTACTATTAAAACGGTGAAATGTATAAGAAAATTAATGGGAAAAATCAATTCCACCAAAAACTACCCTCGGATCAATTAAAAGTATCTTTTAAAAGTACCCACTCGTTCATTTATTTATTTTTAAATAAGAGGAAAAGGGGCCTGACACACACACACACACACACAAATTTTCTCATCAATATGACCCATATGTGTATATGTTTCTATGTATGTATGTATGTATATGTATTTTAAATGTATAAAACAAATTTTTTTAAAAACAAAAATAACTAATATCCTCCTTTTCTCTGAGGGAAATTTTCCGTTTTTTTAAAATGGCATTTTGTTCGACAAACGATCCCGAAAATTAATCAACGATTCGATTTTAAAATAAAAAAAAATAAAATAAAATTATAAAGACTTACCAAAGGAACTTGTTGAACCGGTGGTAAGCACGATGTTCCGGGAAACGGTTCGCTAACGTGGGGAGAAGAACACGAAGAAGGCATTTGGCATAGAGCCATGCCTGAGGCACTCATTTCGGTTGGACCCGGACATCCTCCTTTAGCACACGAATCAGATGCAGAATCTGTTTTGTTTGCTTCCGTCTCTGCTATCTCTTCGCATTCCTGTTCCACGAGAAGTTTTTTGTTTGCCGGCAAACAGGAGGACGGTGATTTGGTGTTCTCGTTCGTCAGTCTTTTATTAACAGTCTCTGTAACGGCTGTTATTTCTCCTTCTTCCGAATTTTTTTTAGATGAAAACGTTTCCGTTTCATCCGAGTCCTTTTCCGTTTTTTCTTTTTTTATTATTTCCGTCGAACTGGTCGAACTCAGATTCGTCATTTCTGTTAAACCCTTAACTTTTAAACTTTCAGCCGTTTTCAGAAGTGCAGAGAGTTGACAATATTCTACGTTCACTTCACCTTTATACATAAAATCTACAATAGTTTTCAACTCTTCAAAACACACATCTTTCAAAATAACGATGGGATGCCTGTTGGGATGATCGATGAAAAGCGTTTGAAAATAAGAAGAACAAGCCGAGAGTACAACTTTATGAGCTCTAATAGAGTGTCCTTCGGCGCAAGCTAACGTCACGTCCACCAAACTTTCGTCTTGGAGAAGTTGACTGAACACGCCAAGAAGATTACTCTGATGATTATTCCACCTAAGGCAGTAATGCTCACTTCCCATGTCTTGTGAATAGTACCTGAAACAGAGAATCCCACAATTTTGTTTTTCAATTTTTTCAAAAATAAATTTATTAAAAAAAAAAAAAACAAAATTCTAAGCGCCTCGTTACTATTGTTTTGTTTTATATTATACATTTTTCAAATCGTTAAAAATTTGTATATATATATATATATATATATATATAAAATAGATAACAATTAATAAAAATAAAATAAACACGTAAAAGATGAAAACAAAAAAACCAAAGTCATAACAGCCATGCAATCCAACAAAAAAAAAAATTATTTAAGTTTATTAAATGTAAAATTTGTTTAATTTCTTTAAAATAGGAAAAGTAGAATAAAATATAAATTTTATTTGTCAATTATTCCGTCTCCAAACAATTCCGATTTAAGAGAGAGAAAAAAAAACGTTAATTTGAATTATATATTTATTTACACTCCGATGAGGATAAATAAATAAATAACAACAAAATGTTATTAACAATTTGTGATTTTTAGGAATCACGCATAGAGGGTTTCCCATGTCCATGGTACCCTCAATTAATTCCTGAAATTTCCTATAATTTATTATTAATATCATTTTTAGAAAAAAAAAAAAAAGAATTATAAACCGGTGGAAACACACGGAAACTCTGAACGGTAACCTAGGCTACGACAATAAAAAACTCAATTTAATCTTGTGCTAACATTTTTATCCTAGGACATACTTCATTATTTGTCCTCATCATCATCATCATCATCATCATCATCATTATCAGTTATTATTAAACTTTTTATTTATTTTTTAATAAATCAAAAGGGCTTTTGTTTTTTTTTTTTTTTCGTTACATATACATATTTTTTAATTAATTATTTTTTATATAAAAAAAAACCTTAAACGACGACATTAAGTTTTACATTTCTATTATTTATTTATTATAATATTATTATAGATATATATTTTTATTATTATTTTTCATTAATTTTAATAAAAAAAAAAAAAATAAATAAATAAATAAATACGAAAGGCATCGGTTAAAAGAATTAGTTAAACGTTAAAAAATAAAATAATTATTTTAAAATTTTGATTTTTTTTTTCAGGTATATAATTTGACAACGCACACGCACGCGCACACACGCACACACGCACAGAAAAAAAAGAAACAAATTAACAAAAAGGTTAAAATAATGACCATGAGCATTACTCAATATGTATTGAAATTTTTTTTTTTTTTTTGTCGCGCAACAAATTTTAATTCTTATTTTACTTTTCTATTACATCGTAATTATTATTATTATTATTATTATTATTATTATTATCATCATCATCGATACATCAATTACGCAGAAACATTTTTCTTTCCTTTAATATACTTTAAATCGATTTTTTCATCAAAAATTTACAAGTTAAAACCTGATATTTTTTCTCAAAAAAAAAAAATTTTTCCTTGGATTTCCTTTATTTGAACGATTAAATTAATAATATTAAAATAACGTAATCGCATTAACGATAGATAAAATTTAATTTTCTTATTAAAAATCTATTTTTTTTTTTTTTAACTTGCCGGCAAATGTGACCGATCGGTCACCCGAATAAGAATCATCATCATCATCATCATCATCATAAATCGAATCACGATGCAAGTTACAATTATTATTATTATTTTCCTATAATTTTATTTAAAGGAAAAAACGCCATGTTTACTTAATAATTTATTTATTATTATTTTTTTTTTTTATAGTTTTTGATATAAACCTGAAATAACCTTTAAACTCGATTCGGTGAAACTAATTTTTCTTTCTTTCTTTCTTTTTTTTGGCCACTGCATAATTTCATCCATCCATCCATCCATCTATCGATCAAACATGGATGTTCGATCGAAATAGCGGAAGTTAAGACCTTTAGTGGCACGTATAAAACACGAAAAATGAATATTCTCTCGCTAAACTTTTATGGTCGGCGTTGGCAACTTACAAAATATATTTTTTCCCTACTACACTCGACAAAATCAAACAAACAAAAACAATAATTATTTATGTATAAATACATAATTTTTTTTTTTTTTTTTTTTCAAAAATTGAAATCGATAGGGGTATTAATATTATTATTATTTTTTTTTTTAATGCGTTTTTCTACTACACGTTTACCACCCACACCCCCTCCCCCACAATCACTCTTTTCTTTTTTTTCAATATCAAACAGAAAAACAATCAATCATCTCAACAAATAATTTCAATAAATAAAAATTAATATTTAACTAATAATTTGGTCACAGAGACACATAATAAAACATACAAACACACTCTTATAGTTTACTATATCAAAAATAAATAAATAAATTATTTAATAGTTTTTAAAAAAAAAATTTTTTTTCCCTTTTTCTTTACGAATCTCGTTCGAGTTTAAAATGAAAATAATAATAATAATAATAATAATAATATAAAAATAAGTGATAATAAAATATAATTTTCGATAATTATTGATCGTACGTCTTGGTTTCACTACGATAATATTTTTATGGAAATGTGCGTGTGCGTGTGCGTGTGCAAATATAATAAATAATTATACAATTGAAATAAATAAAAGCGAAAACAGTTAAATTATTAATAAATAAATAAAAATAAAAAAAATTAAGAAAATGTTATGAAATTTTATTTTAAATTTAATCGAATTTAACGTAAACTCACGAAAACGCTTTTTTTTCTCCTTTTTTTTTTTTAAAAAAAAATCATTTTACTTCATTTTTTTTTTTTTTTTTATTCCTACAACAACAACAACAACAACAACAAAAAAGAAAAAATATTTGAAAGTTTTTTTTTTTTTTTTGTTATATTCTAACCAAGAACGATGATTATTTTTCAACGTAAAGTTTAATCACACTCACTCGCACACACGCAATATATAAAAAGAAAAACTTTTGAATTACATTACCATTATTATACTTAACATTTTAAAATATATGTAATAAAAATTAATTTGTAAATAAATAAATGTGTGCGTGAGTGAGTGAGTGAGTGCGTGCATGCGTGCGTGAGTGCGTGTGTGCGTGCGTGCGTGAATTCGTGTTCATGTGCGTGTTTGTGTGCGTGCGTGTATCTATGTACGTATTTAAGTATGCATAAAGAAAAAAAGAAAAAAAAAAAAAAAAACAACATGAAACAATGTGAAATTGAAACAATGAACTTGTTTCAGAATGAATTTTCGACGTGTAGCCGGAGGCCTATTTAAAAACCGCGGCTAAAAATAGACCGTTGATGACCGCATTGCTAAAATGGCGCTTGCAATTTTTGCACTCTTGTTTTCTCTAAACCAATGATAATAATTTTAAAAAATAAATTCTACACTAATCTAACATTTTATTTAATAATCAAAAAGATAATAATAATAATAAACATTTTATTTTACATTAATAAAAACAATGCGGTGAATAAAAATCATAATATGTAATAATAATAATAATAATAATAATAATAATAATAATAATAATAATAATAATAATAATAAAATAAGATTTTTTTATAACGTTTTAATTTCGTATATATATATATACATGTTTAGGTAACCAATCGATTGCGGTGCATGTTAAAAATATTAAAATCGTTTATAATCAAAAATAAATTTTTTTTTTTTTACCTGCGACAAATGCTCGTTAACGTGCAACAAATAACAACGTAGTTAATAAATGAAAATAATAATATAAATAAATATACGTATTTTTTTTTTTTGTTGTTGTTTGCTCAATTTGAATTATTTTTTTGTGAGCGTGGATTTTACATGTAATATTTACGCTAACTTTTCACCGAGAGAAACCGCGCACGACTTCCACACAGCGGTGTCGGCGGGCTACTAACTAATGGCTACGAAAATTTACCTACGACAGACAGCGCAGCGGCCGGAAGAAGTTTGAACTATTTATTCACTGTTGACATTCCATCATCAGAAGCAAAAGTCGAAAACTCGACGTCGTAGGCAGGTATTTAATCATTTCATTCGACTACGACAGCAATGACGAAAATCATAATAATAATAATAATAAAACCCTTTTTCTAACACTCGGAAAAAAAAATGATGGCGATGATGATAATAATAAATAATTAAACTCGATATAGTGTGTTAAATACAAATCTCGCACTCGATATTTTTTTTTTATATATATATTATTATTACTTAACTGCAAAACATTTTAAAATTTTTTATTTATTTACTTTTTTTTTTTTTTTTTTTTTTAACACTCGTAAATAATAATTATTTTCCGATTTCTAGCACTGACATTTTTACTCTGTGAGCAACGTCTGAAAGCAGATGTTGAAATGACTCTCGGGCACCGGTCAATGAAGAGGCGTGAGGGGAACGAGAGAACCCGAAGAGAAAAGAGGGGAAATATTATAGAGAGAAAAAAAAAAAAAAAAAAAAAAAGGAGGGAGGAACGACACGATGGAATAGGAATCGTGAAAGAGGAGAGGAATAGGAAGAAGAGGGAGTAGGAGGCGGAGGAGTAGGAGGAGGAGGAGGAGGCTAATGCAGAAGTCTGAGCCGTCAAGGCGTGCGGGGAGAGAAGAGTCGGAGGCGAGATGCCAGCCGTGCATTAAATAATTTTTCCTTGCACTTTATTATTATTATTATTATTATTATTATCATTATCATCATCATCATCACCACCACCATTGTCGTCGTCGTCGTCGTCGTCGTCATTATCATTATCATTATCATCATTATAATCATCATTATTATTATTATTATTAAAATGCCACCAAAATAATGTAATTAAAACACTAAATTATTTTACAAATCTGTTTATATAATTCAATCTTGTTATGACGTAGTTTTTTTTTCAAATAATGATGATTTTAGGGAAAAACAGGACCGTGGGGGACCGCGAAAGGGGGAACCGTGGCGGACCGTGGTTTATCAATATATTTATTTATCGTATATATAGGACGGGATATTTGTTTTTTTTTTTTTTTCATAAAAATTAAGCGTTTATCGGAGGAGGGGAGGGGAAGGAAAGGGGTGGAAAATGAAAATAGGGAAGAAACAATAACCAAAAAAAATTTTTTTTTTTTTTTTAAATTTGAAAACCCTTAATAAAATGTTGTTAATAAAAAATTAAATTTAAAAAAAAAAAAGAGAGAGAGAGAGAGAGAGAAAATATCCAGGAATGGAAGGATTTGGTTCTTTTTTTTTTTTTTTTTTTTTTTTTTTTTTTATTCGTCTGACAAACGTGGCGCGTTCGACCCCGACGGGAAAATCGATTTTTTTCCCGTTTCCGTTTCTAGGTCAAATTCCTCTAACTCGGGGCCGTTCCATTTTTTTTTTTTTTTTTTTTTTTTTTAAAGGTTGGTATCTTTCTTTCTTTCTTTCACAAAAGATGTGTTTTTAAAAAAACCAATTTATACATAGATATTGTATTAAAATATCCGATAAAATGGCCGATCAACAAAATTATCTTATTAAATTTTTTTTTTTGTAACAAAAAAGGAAACAAAAACGAATTTTTTTACCTTTTTTTCCATTGAATATAATTAAAAAAAAAAAAAAAAAAAAAAAAAAAAAAAAAGAACTCAGGCAAGGCAAAGCAAGGCAATGCAAGGTAAAAAGGGAAAGAAAAAAACCGGTTTCAATTTTTTTTAAAGGAAAAACATAATAAAGGGCTTCCATACGAACTTCCTACATGACATGGCATCGCATGAACGCAAGAAATACACGCACGCACGCACGCACGCACGCACTCACGCACGCACATGCACGCATCCACTTTTATACCCATGTATTATACTTAACTATACTATACTTTTTTTTTTATACTGGAAAAAAAAAATAATCAACGAAATACCTTTATGATTTTAGTATAAAAGAAAAAAAAAAAACGTTCGTTTACGTGTGAAGTATAAATTATTATTATTATTGTTATTGATCTCGATATACGAGTATTAAGAGTAAGTAAACAACAACAACAATAATAATAATAATAATAATAATAATAATAATAATATTTTTACACCCGTTTAAATTAGTATTATTATTATTATTTATGTATTTTTAATGGTAAACGATTATTAACCGACAATTATATAACAATATTTAATTTTAATTTTATTAACGATTATTTCTGTTAAAAATTCATTTCAACTATACGTGTGGCAAATTTATCTCTCTCTCTCTCAGTATACATCTACCTTATATATATATATATATATATATATATATATTAGTTTTAAATTACATTTAAAAAAAAAAAAAAAAAACTACCGCGTCGCGAATTATTATTATTATTAAATAATTTTTTACCAACGACGACAACAATAATAATAATAATATTTATAAGTATTAAATGCTTATTTGTGTAAATATGTATATAATTTTTTTCTATCCTTTTTTATCTTATAACGATTAACTGTGTGCTGCTCTACCATCATCGTCCTGTGTTTTCAATAACGCCTTTTTCAATTTTTTTTTTTTTTAAAGATTTTGTATTTACAGTCTACCGAAGGGGATCAATTATTATTATTATTATTATTATTATTCAATTTAGATATAAAATTATTTTAATTCTTAACCTAACAATTACATAATTGTTTATTGTTTTTTTTTTTTTAATAATCATTATTTAAATTAACAGTGTTTGTAAAATTATTATTAAAATAATAATAATAATTTTTTTTTAATACAAATTTGACATGATATATATATATATAATTTGTTTTACGAAGGGAGAATAATTTTACGTGGATTCATGTATATTATATAAAAATTATTATTATTATTATTATTATTATTACCTTTTATAATATAAATAAAATGTTCACGATGTGAACCGAGAGGAAATTTTTTTCTTTTTCTCTCTCTCTCTTTCTTTTGTATTTATTATCACGTTTTAATATGATTCATATTGATATTTCGCGGGTACTATTAAAGTTAATAAAATTTTATATTATTTATATATATATATAAATATGATCAAGTTTTTTTTTTGTAATGGTTAAAAAAAAAAAAAAAAAGCGATCGGAATAATATTTCATAAGATGTAAACATCAAATGGCGAGCAACCGTAAAAAATTTGACTTTTTTTTTTTTTTTTTTTTTTACTTTTTATAAGAGTGCTCATGCGTGTCAATTTGTTATTATTGCATGTCACGGTAACAAAATTAAAAAATAAAATTTTCATTTTTTGACCAAAAATTTTGTACGGTTGCTAAAAAAAAAAAAAAAAAAAAAAAAAGGAACTCGAGCAAATTCTAAACATTTTGACTATTTTTTAAGAAAAGACAAAAAAAAAAAAAAAAAGAAGAGACGTGAAAAGGTTGGTCAGTTTTTTAAAATTAATTTTCTGTTGTTTAAGAAAACCCATGCGATCACAACATATTATACTAAACCCCTCCCCCCCCATTTATTAGTAAAACAAAACAAATTATTCGAACCAATCATGGCGAAAAAAAAAAAAATTATCAAAGAGTCTTTGTTTTAACATGTAAAAAAAAAAAAAAAAAAAAAATTTTATTTAAACGCTAGTCGAGTCTCATAAAACAAAAACAAAAAATTTTTTTTATTCACAAATAACAAAATGAGGACTTATTATATATGATTACTATTTTATTATTATTATTATTATTATTATTATTATTATTATTATTATTATTATTATTATTATTATTAATTAAAAATCGATGATAATTATCGATCGTGTGCGAAGAAATAAATAAAATTGATTATTAAAAAAAAAAAACTATTATTACTTAATCGTTTATAATAATAATAATAATTTCCTAATAAATACAAATAAAAAAATTTTTTTTATTTAAACAATATATTAAAAGAAGGGAGAGAGAGGGAGAGAAAAATTTAAAGGAAAACGTATGAAAACATTTAAAATGAAAAAAAAAAAAAAAAAAAAAGGCGAAAAGGGTGCCAGGGGCTTTGTGAGAGAATATTGTGCAATGCGCAAAAGTTTGCGTGCATTTCGTCTCGCCGTATCGATTGCCAACAAGGCCATTTAATCGGTCGATTCCAGCTATTTTGCAGTATTTTTCTTTTTTCTTTTTTTTTTTTTTCAACAAACAGAATCGAAATCTCAATAATAAAAAAAAAAAAAAAAATTAAATTTAAATTTAAATTTAAATTTGATGATTTTTAAAACTATACAAACGATAATCCGTGTATTTTTCTTTTTCTTTTTCTTATTTTAAATTAACGTAATTGTTAGACAAATTTTTAGTTAACAAAATTTTTATTTTATTTTTATGACGTCATAAAAATACGATTTAAAATAAATGATTATATATATATATATATATATATATATATATATATATATATATATATATATATATATATATATATAATTACCTAATTATATTAATAACTATGTTATTTACAAAAAATTTATTCTATTAAATTTCAATGAAAAAATAAACAAAAAGTTTTTCATAAAATTTTATATATTTTTTTTTTTTTTTTCGAAAATATTTATTTATTTTTCATTTTAAAATACTGTGCGTATTACGTATAAATAGTATCATTATTATTATTACCTAATAGTAAATCTATATAAATAAAATTAAATTATTTTCACGTAAGAGTAGTATTGATGATTCTTATGACTTCATGTCATGTCACTTTTTTTTTCATTGTTTATTATTATTATTATTATTATTTAGTTTTACCATAAAGTTTTCAAAAACGTTTTTCACATGTGTATATATTTTCGATAAAAAAAAAAATAAAATAATAAAAAATAAAATACTTTACTATATTTCATTTTTAAGGACAATAAATTTAAATTTTCATTTTGCACACTCGCTTCCCCCCCCCCTTCCCCCCATTGTTCCTTTTGTACGTTAATAACCCATTATGGGAATCGGCCAATTAGTACCGTTAATATAAGAATAATTATTATTATCTTTTAATTCGAATCCCCCCTCAAAGTTTTTATTTTTTGATTTTTCAATTTTGTTTTCCAAATCTTTGAAAAATTGACTTATTACTTTTCTATTATTTTCCGTATCCGGTAAATATTGAAAATGTTCAACGTTTTTCGATATTTCTCTCATAAATGAATCTGGAGAAAGGGTTTCATTATCGTCACGTGGTTCGTCACGATTCAAAAGAGAAACCGAAAATCTAGGAGGGTGCTGCTCATCATCATCACGATGATGATTGTGATTGTGATGATGATGATGATGATAATGTTGATAATGATTATTTGGAACTGAAGATATCCACGATTGTGGTAAACACCCTCCTCCAGTTTTTATTGGTTTTACCACGGATCCGATTTTTTGAATTTTCCGACTCGGAATTTCTTTCCGATATTCCGTAAAATTTTTATAATTCATAAAATCGGTTATATTTTGAATATCTTCGTCGAAATTAATTGAATCAAATGATCGTCTGATTTCGTTCCCATCGTAGGGAAGGCTAATTTTTTTTAAAAAATATTTACCGTTATTTTTATTATTATTATTATTATTATTATTATTATTATTATTATTATTATTATTATTATTATTATTATTATTATTATTATTATTATTATTATTATTATTATTATTAGTGGCATCTTTTTGAATTAATCCTTTTATTAGTGGCGAAGTCCCATTTGAGTCTTTACGAAAAAATTTCACTCGGGAAAATTGTCGATCCGAATAAGGAGATTTAACGTTAATGGCTTTAGCGCCGTGAAGATAAAAAAGTAAACTCGAATTCATTTTTTCCGATTCTTTTGGGGGGAAATTTTTTTTTTGAAATCCTCCCTGGGCCATAGAGGGTTGAAATTCAACGGTGCAAACTGTGGTCGCCGAAGAACGATTTACCGTTTTATTCAATTGACGAGTGTCGACGGTTTTTGTATATTTTTTATCATTCGTTAAAAACGTTTTAGTTTTTGAGGTTCTTTTGTCGGCCATTTTCCCAACTCTGAGATTTTTCGATGCCTTCGATTCCCGTGATAAAGAATTCGACGATATTTTTTCGAGATCCCGAAAACCCTTGTTTATTTTAAAATTTGATTCCGTGTTTTTCGTTCCGATTGGTGATCTTTTGACCTTTTTAAAATTTTTACCGAGATTTATTGAGCGGGGATAAGCCGGATACACTAAATATGATTTATCCAGAATGCTTTGCATCCCGACATATTTCCAAGGTTCTTTTTCATCGGATCCCGCTGGTCTTTTCCGTTCAGATGATATTATTTTATCCGCGACGGCGGCTACGGAGGCATCACCATTGGATGTTTTCCTGTTTGGATAACAATTGTTCGACACCGCGGGTACCTTAATGATTTTGTGTCTTGCTAATCTTTCAATGTGAGCTTTCCGATTTTTCTTGGTACTCTTGTCTGTTTTTTTTCTTTTAATTTTTTCCTTCGCGGAAAGTTTATTATTTTTTTGATTTTGCCCATTATTTTTAGCAAATCTTTTTATTTTATTTTCTAAAACTTTCAAATTCATGACTGATAATAAATTTTTATCATTTTCCGGTATCTTTTCATCTTTAACAAACGATAGATTTTCAACGAAGGATTTTATTTCCCGTTCGGATCCGTAAGCTAAATTTTTATACACGTTGACAACGTCTTTCATGTTAAACGATTTTTTTTCAATTCTTTGATGTTTGTTTGTTTTTCTTTTCCTTTTATTATCAACGTTTGATTCTTCGTTTGTTTTTTTAAGGGTTGTCGTAGACGATGTTGTCGTCGCTCCTCTTTCCTTTCCTATAACTCCCTGTTTTTTTTTATTTTCATTGTTCAACCTAAGCGACTCGGAATTATTTTTCAATTTAGATAAATTTATATTTTTCTTTTTATTTTCCATTTTACTTTGTTCGACGTCACTAGAAGGTATCGAATCATCGAGTTTTCTTACCCTACATTTTGGCCTACTTATTCCGGACGAAGGCTCAAAAACAACTTTTTTCCATTGTGATTCAATGGGAATTTCCGGCAGCATATAATTTTGAAAAAATTTTTTATTTTTATTTTTTGAATTATCTAATGGATTGTTTTTATTTTTTAATATCTGTTTCGAATCATGATTACTTTTTACATCAGTTAAATCAGTGTCCGAATTTAAATTTCTTTCCGTTTCCGTTGTGTTGTCACAAGAGTCTTGAGATGAGGGTCGAGTCATTTTACTATCAGGTTCGTCACAATTAAGTTCACCTTTTAAATTTCCTATTTCTTTTTGTACTATCCGAGCAGTCGTGATATATTTCTTCGGTTTTGGAAATATAATTTTTTTATTTTGAATTAACCCACTGTTTAATTTTGTATTTACGTTTAAATAATTACTATTATTATTATTATTTTTATTTCGTTCATTTATGCTACCGTCGTTTGATATTTCTTCTTCTTTCTCTTCTGTGATTGTGGCAAAGCTACTCATCGCCATATCTTTTTTTCCAATAAAACCGGATTTCCGTTGTTTTCGATTTTTCAATGCATTTAATAAATCCGATGAATCGCACAATTTTCCAAAATTATTATTCAGTTCAATAGGTGAAAGTTCATCAGGGTAAAAAGCCATTAATAAAAAATATAAAATTGAATTTTTTTTAAAGAAAATGGCATTCTAATCAATAACGACGGCCTCACGGAAAAATCATATTCGATGAGTTTAAACACACACAAAAAAAAAAAAAAAAAAAAAACAATTTTTATTTTCTTACAGGCGAGACAAATAGTAAAACCAACCTAAAAAAAAGAAGAAGAAAAAAGTACTAGTCATACATAATACATTATACACACGTATATTATAAAAACTAGTTACGATATAATAAATATAGTTAATATTTTTAAACTTTTTTTTTTTTTAAATTTTGATACAATTTGATGATAAGCCAAACAAAATTTAATTTTTTTTTTATAATACCATAAATTATTATTATTATTATTTATTATTGATCAATGATACGTTTAAAAACGTTGAAAATTATTGCAATAAAAAATTTGCAACAAAAAATCAAAGTTTCATAACCAAGTAAAGTTTTATTTCTTTTCCACTTCCAAGAACTAAAACAACAACAAACAATATGTTGTCAGATTGTAATTTGTTTTCAACTTTTACGAATCCTAAAAGGGAATTTTTAACAATAATTATAAAAATATCATCATTACACTTACTTGTATTTTATCATATACGTTTATTATCTAATTGATTTTTTAACCAATCTTTCAATTTTAATAATTAATTTATAACACAAAATTTCATTAATTTTTTCAATTTATGTATATATATAATAAGTCATAATATAATTTTAAACAGACTGCATTCTAAATTTAAAAAAAAAAAGAAGAAGAAAAAAAAAATTTAGCAAAATGAAGCTTTAGAACATGACGCATGACTTAAAATCACATTCGTTCATAATGATAATTATATGCTATAGTACAAGTACGGATCTATTAACCAGCCTAACTTTGGTCTAAATTGCTAACTAGACATTGAATTTCTCATCACGAGTCAATAATTTATCTTCGTTTTTTTTTTTTTCATATCGAAAATCCGAATACCAGAACGTTTTAACCGTTAGGCACAATATAATAATAATAATAATAATAATGCCATCTTTTGACAAATTTTATTTGTTTCAATTTTTGATTAAACTCATTATTATTTATACCTTCTACGTCAGTACGATGACAACAAAAAAAGAATTTCTGTAATACACACTTCATGCAAAATTTTGTGTCTTAATCGTAAGCGGTAATCGTACCTTTTTTTTTTTTTTTTTTTTTTTTTTTTCAATTTCGATTAATGGCTCCCCCCACTCAATATTCACTTCTTAATAAAATTATTGTGTTTCGAAGCGTAATAAAGTTTTTTTTTTTTTTTTTTCACTGCGGGATTCAAAGGTACGAAGCCTGCCACATACCGAAGCTAATTTTAATTCGGCACGGCAGGACAAAAATGTTTTTCTTCGAGCTATTCCTCGACACTGAAACGCGTGCATTTGCATTGGATTCAGCAATGTTTCAGATCACTGACGAAACAACGGTAAATGATACACATATATATTAATGGTATACCTTTTACGATTTTTCACGCATATCCAGTCATCGGTTAAAACTTGTCTTTGACATTAAACCGACTTCAAGCTCGTTTTAAATAGTTTTAAATTATCGGATAAATTACTTACTTTTATTTTAATTCGAGACTTACTCAGAATGCATCAAAAAAAAAAAAATTTTTTTTGTCACATATAATAAATAAAAATTATGATGGCCACACATTATCCTACGACATACACCAATAAATTTAATAAATATTTCGAAACCGTGTGAAAAACTCAAAATGTTTTATTTTCATAAAATTGATATCATGGGGGAGGGGAGGGGGGAGGGGGTTTAAACACATAAATAAAGGGAAACAAACTAATAATAATAATAATGTAAATAACATATTATTGAACTCTCAGTTATTGTATTGAAATTATTTACCTTTTTAATTATTTGGTCGTTTTTGAAAATTATTAATTTTTTAAAGAAGAAGAAAAAAATATTTAAAAAAAAATAAATTAAGGGTCATCCTGCAGAGGATGCAAGTGGGCGTAAAAGTCGGCGAGGTGAGACGTTTTGCAGTTGAGCCAGTGGCAAAGTGGGGCAGGTCGGGGTCGTCTGGATCAATATTCACGTCTGGCTTTTCCAGATTCCCTGTCCGCTCTTCCTCTCTCTCTCTCTATCTCCTATGAAAACCCTGCGCTTTACTTATTTATAAGTTATGGAAAAAAAAAAAAAAAAAACAAAAAAAAAGTACAATAAAGGGAATAAAATTTAAAAAATTTTCTTTCCCTGATATAGAAACTCATGTAAAAATGAGGTAATTGAAAAAAAAAGTAAAAAACGCCTGTGAAATCGATTAGCCCCAAAAAAAATTAAACCAAAATGATTTTTTTAAACATGTAAAACATGAAGACAATAATAGCAATAAATTTTTAATCGCGACGTTACGCACGAGATTCAATATGAGTACACCTAACTTATGTAAAAAAAAATTTTTTTTTCCCTTTTTTTCTAAATCGATTCGTTTGGACACATTTGAATTTTTCGAAATAAAAACGGTGCGGTATAAGAAGAATTTTAAATGAAGTGGAAAGAAAAAAAAAAAAAAAAAAAAAAAAAAACAAAAGTTTTTGTAAAAAAATCCGGGAAATCCTTTCATGTTTTTCATTTTATAATTTCTACAAAAATATAAAGAAATATAAAAATTTTATTTCTTACTCCAATGAATTTTTTAATTTTGGAAAAAAAAATAATGTTCAATCGGATTTTCGTTGAAATAATTATTATAACTATAAAAAAAATTAAGTTAAAACGAAATATTCGGTTATTAAATATTATTAAATTTTATAATTTTCCTAGGTTTTCTAAGTTTTGAATTAAATATTTCATTAAATTATTCCTCCTTGTTTTTAATTCAACTTAAAAGATTTTTATTATAAAATTAAAGGGTATTTTTACTTTTAGGTTAAGAATTTTTTTTTTTTACACAAGACACATTCCTTTTGTAACGTTTAAAATTTAAAAAAAAAAATAATAATAATGACACTTACCTGACTTTAAACAGAAGATTAAAACATAAATTGTCAAAATCTAATAATTAATTTAAATTAAATGAAAACAAAAAAAAAAAAAATCGTCTACTTACTTATTACCGAAACGTCGAAGGAAAAAAAAAAAAAAAAAAACGAGTAAAATTCGATTGTAAACAATTGTCCGAATATCCGGTGCCGGACAAAAAAAAATTTGAATATCACAAAACCTACTCACGGAAAGTTATTAGTTTTTTAAAGTAAGTTCACTTAAAATTTTATTCATTTTTCACAAAACTACACTTTAATAATTAAAATCTCAATAATAATTTCAATTAAAAATCAGTACATTTATTTAAAAAACAAAAAAATAAAATGAAACTTTCCTTATATAAATTTTTACCTCCTCAATTGTTATTTAATTGTCGCCACTTTTTAAATCATTGTTACCAACTGTAGTTTTCAGTTTTATTTTATTGGCCGCCATCTTGTTTGTATTTGCTATATTCTATGAACCACGTGATACTACTCGGTTGTTATTTTTTTTATTATTATTATCAATCAAGTTAACATAAGTCTTAAGTGATTAAAATTAAATTACACCATTAACTTATAAAAAAAATAAAATTTTTTAATTGTTTAATTATTATTATTATTATTACTTTTTACTGTTTTTAAATATATATATATATAAATTTTAGTTAATATGGGTTCCTGGCAAGCTGAAGTTGCCAAAATGTTTTTATACGTTATGTTTCCAGTCGCGGTTTTCCATTGTTATAACCAACCAGAGATATTTGAAAGTTGGGCTCAGCAAACTAAAAACAAATATTTTCAACCTTCTTCACCGGAAGATTTTAAAGAGTTGTACGAATATTTTGAAAAGAAAAAACAAAACGATAAAAATAACAGTGATCTGCTGTGAATTGATTAAATGATTGTTGGAATCATTCAACACACGCAAAGAGTTTGCAAATGTTAACTAATTAATAGTCAATCGTTGTTTATGCGTAGAGAATGAAACCTTTATATACACATATATAAATTTTTCTTAAAACCATAATTAATAAAGTTTGCTTATAACCATTGTTTTATAATAATTAGGAACCAAACATGTATAAGTATATTTGTTTATATTGTATCATTTAAAAGTGCAATAAAAGTACTATTATTTATTAAATTCAATCTTTTTCTTTTTTTCTTTTTTTTTAAACCTCATGTAAATGATGATAAGCAAATTATAATTAATGTGAATAAAATAATTTTACAGTATTAAAATTTGATTGCGAATTAGTAACAATTGTTATTTTACTTTTTCAAGTATTATTATTATTTAGGGAAATGATAATTTTTTTCTTTTTTACTAGTAGTCAATTGAAATAATTAAAAAAAATTTTGTCTGGTTATAATTACATATTGAAATTTAACAATCTTTGACCGGTATAAAATGTCATTATGGTTCTCATTTTAGTATTCAATTTTTTTCATGACTCGTAAATTTTTTTTTAGTCTCATTTTTGTCATAAGGCTACCTAATATTACTAAAGAAATTCCTAATTAAAATAAATTAAATTAAATGTTTTTTTTTTTGTTTTTGTAAATAATTATGATTATTTGAAAATGTCTAAGACATTCAATTAAAGTGGTGATGTATGTAAATTTTTTTTTTTTTTTTTTTTTTTTTTACAAATTACAATTTAAAACGTAATTTGTCACATTTGAACATGCTAAACCTTTATACATTGACACAGTTAAAACTAAAATTAATTTTAAAAATTTTTTATATTATCCACTATTTAATGTAATGGATAAAATTATTGTGAAAAAAAATGTTTGTTTTCAATTTTATTTTAAACTTTTGAAACAATTAAATAACTTGAAAAATGAATAATATGAATAATTATTTGAATAGATTTGGGACAAAAAATTTGTTTTTGTTTTTTTTTTTTTTTAAACTTAAAAGTTTGTTTTATTTGGCTTTAAAAAATTATTCAATGAATGAGTTTTATACAAACAATAATATTCACGTTGAAAAAGTTATTAAAAAATTTTTTTTAAAATGTTTTTTTAACTGTTCTCATCAAGATGGTTCTGATACCCGCGCACTTTATAAACTTGGGGGGGGGAGGGGGAAAACATTTTTAATAAATTTCAAATGACAGTAAGAAAAATTCAAGTCGTGATTTAAAAATAATGTCAGTCAGTCAGTATTTCAAAATCGTATTTTTTTTTTTTTTTTTTTTCACTGCTTCGGGTACTTTTTAATTTCTTAAAAAAAAAAACTTACATCAATTTTTATAATTCCGTTGTTTCCATTTTTTTCGGAATCAATGAAAAATCAATCATCGAATTTAAAGTTTGGTAAAGATTTTTTGATTGTTTTTCTTCCGTATTTTTATCCTTGTCTTCCGTGTTTATTTTATTTGTAAAACTAAAAAATTTCACGTTAACGCATGCATCAAATGATTACGAATCCGTTAAAAATTTTTATATATATTTGATTAAAGTTTTACTTACCTTACGTAACTTATATTTTTACCGTTGATATTATTGTTTTCTTTTCCTTTGTCTTCTTCTACTGTTTTTCCTTTGACAATATTCACAGCGTTGTTATCCAGTGAATCTTTTTCTGAAGTTTGACACGTAAACTCTTCTCCTTCTTCTTCATCTTCCTTGTACCAATTATTTTCATATCCTTTCATCCAAATGGGATTGGATCCTTCGACGCTGTGGATGTTAGTATTTGGTACGTGTCCGGTCATGCTGTCTATGTTCGTCTGATCCGAGTCGAACGCCGTCGCCGTTGCTGCTCTTATCGCTCTCTTATATTTCGACCTTTGTGAAATGCAGAGGGACAATACGAATATTTGAATGACTCCTTGAACGATGAGAGCAAATATAAACCAAGGAACGTATGCGTTGATAATGTCCGATTTTAATTCTTGACTTTCTGCTGGTTGACTATCTAAAACGTTATAATCTTTGAATAACGAATCTAACTTTTCAATGTTTCGATCAATCATATTGAGAACGTCTTGCACGTCGATGACAATATTGTCTTTTCTATCGACAAAATGGAGGAACAAATCCGTTTTCGTGCTGTCCGCACTCCCGTCTCTGTTTTCGTGGACTTTGAGTTCGTTTATGTTAACGGTTGTACCCGTTATTTGTTTCAATTCTTCTCTGAACCTTTCTAATTTTTCTTTGAGTTCTATCGGATTCTGCCTGAGCACAAATTTAACTCTTTGATCTTGCCTTAGCAAATAAATGAAAACGTGAGCCGTGTCTTGAAGATTTTGCGAATCGTTCGCCATGACGGTGAGTTTAAAATAACCTTTCATGTCTTTTTGAGGATAAAAATTAAGAAAAAGAGACCCGGTTTTTTTATCAATTAAAAAAGGTTCCGAACGATCAATTTTTTTCCCTTCTGCTAAAAATGATTGAGTGCTGTTAACGAGATAATATTCTACTTCGCCATTTATTCCCGAATCCAAGTCCAAAGCCTGAAATTCGTAATTAAATTAAATTAATTAAAAATTTAAATGAAAATTATTTTTTAAAATAGTTTTATGTTTGCTCACTTTAATTTTAATTAGTTCGGTTCCAAAATCGGCGTTTGTTGTTACTCCTCCAGTAAATATTTTCTTTATAAATTTTGGAGAATGATCGTTAATATCATTTACTTTTACGAGAACTTTGAGAATAGTTTTATCATTTTTGTCGTGTGAGCTCACGTTAGAAGGTGGATTAAGACAATCTTCGGTTGCTTTGACCAATAAAACGTGTTCTTCTGTTTCTTCTCTATCGAGTTCTTTTTGAACAGTCAATTCGTGTTTGTAAGGATCTAAAAGGAACAAACCCTTTTCGTTTCCTCCAACTAAAAAATAACAGACTTGTTTGTTTTCTCCCTCGTCGACGTCGCCATCGCCATCGTTTTCATCGTAGTCGGTGTCGTCTTTATCCACCGTACCCACCAGAACGTTTCTTTCTGCTCCTGGAGAAGAATGTTCTGTGGAGAGAGAAAAAAATAGAACAAAATAAATCGTCATAAAAAAACAATGAAAAGTAATAGGATATATGTTTTCAATTCGAAATTCGTCACCTGTGAAATTCAATTCCATTTCGTTTATTAAAAACTGCGGTGGAAAATCGTGAACGTTTTTCACGTAAACGATCAAATCCAAATCCGATGATAAAGATGTTGGAATTCCTAAATCGTAAGCTTGAATTCTCAAATGATAAATCTTCTGCTTTTCATTGTCCAAAGGCTTTTTAAGAAACAAAGTCCCATTTATTTCGTCTATATCAAATGTTTTCCAATCGCCCAAAGGATCATGTTTCAATTTGTATCTCACGGCAGCGTTATCTCCCATGTCATCATCAGTTGCCGTAACTTTAATCAGGGGACTATCCACGGTTGCATTTTCAAATACTTTAACGGTTGAATTTTGACCCGGATAAACAAACACGGGAGCATTGTCGTTAAAATCTATAACGCAAATGGAAACTTGAGTTTTTGCAACGTTTGGAGGATAACCTAAATCTTTAACTTGAAGAGTCAAAGTGTAATTTCCGTGAGATCCTTTTAAGCGTCTTGAAGCGGAAATTTTAGCAGATCCATTATCAATGTCGGTTACGTAGAAAAGATCATCGTCATTTCCTTCGACGATAGAAAATTTCATTTTTCCGTTCGGAGTGAGTGGATCATCTTTATCGTTGGCTTTTATAATTAATATAGCATCTTTCACATCGTGGTATTCATTGATAAAAGTACACGGAGGAAGAGGTTCGAATGTTGGAGTTTCATCGTTTACATCGGATACAGTGATTCTGGAATTCAAATTAATTTTTAACAATGGGATCCCCTCGTGATTAATAATTAAAACAATTTCTAATGTAAATAAATAGTAGTAAAACGTCCGAGATGTGATTCTGAATTTTTTTTTTTTTTTTGAATAACGTGGGAATAAAAAAAAAATAAAAAAGAAAGTAAAAAAAAAATGGTGTAAAAACGGCTTAACCGCATAAACGAATAATAATAATTATCATTATTATCATTGTAAATAATGAATTGTTAAATAAAATTGAAGGTGAAAATAATAATAATTTTTTTTTTTCAATTGTTAAAATAACAACACTCGGATCGAGAATCGACCAATCCGGAAACGATGCCCACGAAAAAAAAAAAAAAAAAAAGGGAAGTAAAATTATTATTGCAAAAACGAGGAGCCTTTTTATTAATACCATAATAATAATAATAAATGTGAAAGATAAAAAAACCTAAAAATTTATTACCCGATTCTTTGGAAAGCATTTCTACTTTCTCCATTTGCATATCCAAACTGATAATTATCCCAAGCTTCTATCATCAAAGAGTAAAAATTTTGTTTTTCTCTGTCTAAAAAATCCACGACAGAAAGAATTCCAGATGTTGAATCGATTTTAAATTTTCCCTGTGACGAAATCCCATCCAATAAATATGTTATTTTCCCATATTCTCCCGAATCTGCATCTTTGGCTTCGATTCGAATTATTTCCTTTCCTTCCTCGCGAAAAAAAAAATCGGTTTGAATAATAAAAAATGATGCCTATAACCACTTCGGCACTTCACCGACCAAAAATTTCAAAATCCACGGAATCCGAATTCCGCGAGACTTTGTGTCCTTTGCCGAGCATGGTAATAATAATAATAATATTGATAAAAGATCCTTACCTGGTTTCACATCTTCCATGATTGTCAAATTGGCAAAATCGTTAATAAAAACTGGATTGTTGTCATTTTCGTCTAGGATTTGAACATGAACGTCAACGAATGAAGATCTCGGAGGTTTCCCCGAATCCGTTGCTCCGACGGAAAAATTCAACCAAGATGTTTGTTCGTGGTCTATTTTATTAGAGACGACGATTTCTCCAGTTTCCGAGTCTAAACTGATCAAATTTTTGACGTCATCCGAACCTTCTATGTGATAAGTAATACTTTTGTCTTTATCGGGATCCTCGGCAATCACGTTCACTACGCTCGTTCCGTTCTTGCTGTTTTCAGCCACGGATCTGCGATATACGGATTTTTTAAACATCGGACTGTTGTCGTTTTCGTCCTCTATTAAAACAGTCAACGTTGTAAATGCTTTTTGCGCGTCTCCAATGGCTCCGGTGTCTTCGCATACAATACCCAGTCGAATGATTTCAATTTTTTCCCGATCGATTATTCTTTTCACTCTCAGAGTTCCGTTTGTCGGATTCAAATCGAAAAAATCAACGAAATCCACATCTCCTTGCTTGACGATGGTTCCCTCTTCGTTTCTCGCTTCCGAGTTATTTTTATCAAATGTAAATTTTAAATTATGATCGTGATCGGGATCCGTTGCTTCGATGTCGCAAATGTGTTTTCCAGGTTCCAAATTTTCCTTGATTTTGATCACGCCGGGTTCTTTGAAAACGGGGATTTTGTTATTGACGTCTTCAACGTCAATGATGACTTCAACTGATTCGTGAAGCTGATCGACTCCGATTCCGCCGTCTTCGGCTATCACGGTGAGCGAATATTGAAACGTTGGAGGAAACGTTAAATCGGGATCTAGGGATGCTCCCGGTGCGAGTCTGATCACTCCCGTCTCTGGATTTATCACAAACTTATCCTTGGGTCCTTTTTTTATTTTGTAAACAATTTCGTTGTTCGGAGACGAAGAGTCTTTATCGGTGGCGATCAATTGAAAAATAGAACTTCCGGGTGGCACGGTTTCGGGAACGGTGACGCCGTAATTCATATCTTCGAAAGTAGGAGCGTGGTCGTTCATGTCCGTCACGTGAATGGTCACGAACACGCTGGACGACAGGCTCGGAGTTCCGTGATCTTGAGCTACGACCAACAGCCTTATCGGTATAACAGAATTTTTCGGATCGTACTCTTTGTCTCGAATTGCGAGCCTTTCAAAATCTATGTGATGCTTTGGTTGAATCAATCCCAAAACGGGATCTATCGTGAAATTATCTTTTTCGTGTCCTTCTTTAATCCTGTACCGTATTTTACTATTATCGGTTCCATTTAAGTCTTGGTCGTTGGCCTCGACGATCAAAGGTCTTTCAAAATTTATGTGATTTTCCTGTAAGCGAGCCTCGTACTTTGTTTGAAGAAATCTCGGAGCGTTGTCGTTCACGTCTTCAACGTCAATTATTATTTGAACAGTGTTCCGATTGCCTTTTCCGAGGTTGTCTACGGCCTCCACGGTCACGTAGTGACGATCTATAAATTCTCTGTCGAATAAAGGTTCCGGAGAAATGACACTTATGTCTCCCGTTATAGAATTTATTGATAAATATTCGGCGACGCTTCCTCCCAAACCCGTGTACCTTATACCTTTCGTACCGTAATTTCCCGAATCCGTGTCCACGGCTCGCACGGAAGCTATAACTTTACCCGTTTTAGAATTTTCCGGAACCGAAATCCTGTATGAGTTTTTTGAAAATCGCGGTATGTTGTCGTTGACATCTCTCACGAAAATCGTCACGGGAACCGAGCCATGTTTCGGATTCACTTCCACTATTTCTTTCGCGAATATGGTAAAATTAAAAATCGTGACTTTTTCGTAGTCCAACCTTTCGGGATTTTTCACTCGAATCAAAAACGTACCTTCGTTAACTATAACGGAAGGAGTTACTTCGAATATTCCAAAGTCTCCCTCAGTGAAAACGCGAAACGTTCCGTTTTTCCCTTGATCGTGATCGTAGATCTCGGGGAAAAACCCATCGAAAAAAGTTACGGGAGTATTCATCTGAGCATTTTCATCAATTTCAGCCTTATAAGAATCATTTCTGAACGTGGGCGTTTCGTCGTTCACGTCCGATACGATGATCGTGACTTCGGTTTTTGTGAAAGGCGGTGGAAATATAATTTTTGAATTTTCGCGTGCGGTAATTTCTAAAATGTAGGCTCCATTGTTGGAAGAGCTTTCCCTGTCCAATTTTTTTGCAGTGTAAACTATGCCGTAAGTTGAATCTATTTCAAAATCTTCCTCCGATCCTTTTGTTATGGAGTAAACTATTGAATTGTTTATTCCTCGGTCTCCGTCGATGGCTTTAACTCGCATCACTTCAGTTCCGATTTCGGCGTCTTCGCTTATTCTCCCCACGGGTGACACGGCCACGAATTCTGGAAGACGATCTTCGACATCTTCGACTTTGATGACGACCGTGGAAGTTCCCGTATTTACGGGTTCGGTGTTGGATCTGTCCATCGCGAGAATTTGAAGTTGATACAAAATTTTTTGTTCGTAATCAAGTTCTTTAATTAATTTAATAACACCTTTTCCGTTGACGGTGGAAATAGAAAACGTTGAATCATCTCCGTCTAAATCTTTCAACCGATATACGACTTGGCCGTAGGTGCCTTCGTCTCTATCGGTAGCTTCGACGGTGAGCACGACGCCGGGTGGACTATTTTCGGGTAATACCAAAGTCGATTGAAATTGTTTGAAAACAGGTTCGTTGTCGTTTACATCTTCGACGAGAATGAGAAGACTTTGCGTTATGAAATTTCCATCTCCCAACCGTCCATCCGTCAGAGTGAGAATCAATCCATATTCCTCTCTCGTTTCTCTATCCAATTCTTTTTTCAATATCAAATTAGCAGAATTTTTTTTCACATGTTCTATTTTAATTAATTCGTTACCGATGGTTTCTTTGATGCCAAAAGTCAAAGTGTCTCCATCTTGGTCGTATCCATTGACAGTGTAGATAACACTTCCGACGGGAGTTTCGATACCTTCTTTGAGCCTGAGAACGATTTCGGTTTGATTATCGATAAGAAATTTCGGAGGATTATTAACGTAACCGCCAACCACGGCGGAACACAAATCGAGAACAATAATCAATTGAGTGATTAAACCAAAAATAAAATAATTTATTCTTTTTTTTGTTTTAATTTCCCTTATTTTTCTTTTTTTATTTCTCAATTGACTTTTCTTTTGACAAATTGTATCTTTTAATTTTCTTTCTCGATAGCAGACGATTTTCCCACGTCGGCAATCAATAAAATTATTGTTGCAAACATTCATGTTTCATATTTATATATCATCACGTCAAAAAAATTTTAAATATTATTTATATTTACAAATTGAAATCATTGAATTTGAATGAATATGTATTTTACGTTCATTTTCCATTTCAAAATTTAAATATAAATTATTATAATTTTTGTATTTCAATTTAGGGTAATTCGTACAATACGTGATGAAAGTTTATTGAGAAAATGTTAACAAATTGAAAAGTTTTTTTTTTTTTATTTGTTTTTTTTTATTCCCATGATAAAATGCAAAAAACTTGAACCATAATTTTCAACTTTGGCATTTTCATACAGATGGTATATATATATTAAGTAATTTCGTGAGCCTGATTTCACGGTCGTTTCGAAACTATATTTATTTTTTCATTCTTCTTCTTTTTACCTTTAACAAACAAAAAAAGGGAGTAGTAATAATAATAATAATAATAAATTAATAATTATGCAATTGATTGTAATGACTCGTGTAAATATTATCAAGTTATTATTATTATTTGATATTTTTTTATTTAAAATTTGTTAAAAAATTTTAAATGATTTCTTTTTTTTTTTTTTTTTAATCGATACATCCATCAATTTCATCCAGTCAATAAAACAAACAATTAAAAAAAAAAAAAATTTTAAATGATTTCATGGTTTGCCCTCGGGTTTAAAAAAAAAAAAAAAACAAGTTCGGTATTCGGATTAAAAAAAGTGAATCCTTGATATTTTCTTTATGATTTTTAACGAAAGTGAAAAAAACGTTTTTTTTTTTTTTTTTTTTTTAAAGAATAATAAATAAAAATTTCAAAATTATTGCGTAATTTTTTTTTAAATTAATGAATGAATTCGACTCGCGATTTTTTATAAATATGAATCCCTCGACAAAATTTTCTTAAACAAAAAAAAATTATACTTAATTTAAACTTAAAAATAATTCAAAATTTTTCTTTTGTTATTAATACATAAAAATTTTATGGTAAAAAATAAAAGGGGATTCAAGTATCCGAATTAAGAAGTTTTGATGCGTGACACCCTTCTATAAATATATACTTTCAAGTAAAAAAAAAACCCTAATTTTTATAATAATTTTCAACCGTTTTTTTTTCATATAAAAAAATAATATAAATGAAAACGAGAAGTTTAAATCTCGCGGTAACAATTAATTAGTTCATCTTTTTTTTTCTTGTTGAAAGTAGTTAAAACCTTGACATTACGGTCTATATCCCCCCCTCCGCCCCCGCCACCCACGCCCCCCCGTTCACTTATATCCTTATACGTGATATCTTACCTTTGACTTTTTTTAAATTTTCTATATAATTTAAAAAAAAAAAGAAAGAAAATATTTTTTAACATTAATCATTAACTCACCGACTGACTAAGTAACCGAAAAAAAAAAAAAAAAGAGTTGAGTTAAAAAAAAATTACAATACAATGAAATTTTAAATTATCATCTGACAACTTTCTAGAATAACTTATTTGATTGTTGTATAGATGCCGGTGCGTAAAAGGGAACAAAATGTCATTTAAAAAAAAAAATCTCAGGTCACTCCCACCCAACTACCCACCCACCCACAACTCCTAAAAAGATGGTAAAGAAAAAAATTTTTTTTTTCTTTCTCTCGTTTTTAAATTGATTTAACTTTCAAATTATTTGTACAAAAAATTATCATTTTTTTAAACAGAAATCCCAACGAATTATCATCCTAAAAATTTCAAAAGTTTTTTTTTTTTTTTTTTTTTTTTTAATTTCACCGAATTGAAAAAATTTTACTTAATAAATACGTTAATAATAATCGACGACAAAAAAAAGAAAAAAAAGAAAAATGTCAAAACAAACGCTTGATACCTACGTTCATACTTAAATAATAATAATGATAATAAGTAAACAAATAAATAAATAACAATAAACTTAAAAACTCAACAAACAAAACCAACCAAGTCTCGGTCGCAACTGAAACATCCTTCTTTCTATAGTATTAAAGTAACGGTTGGATGAATCCTCGAGTCTATTCCAGTTTTTCGTCTACTTAACTCTTCATCTGTAAAAAAAATCAAACTGGAAAACTTTTTTTTTTTTCCGTAAAACGATTTTCGTGGTTTCCTTTTATTTTCCTTATAACTGGTTTTTCTAAATTTCATCTATAAAAAAAAAAAAAACAATCATATTTTATTGTTTTCCTTTTTGTTTTTCTCCAGTAAAAAAAAAAAAAAAAAAATTGACCACGTAAAGATTTCCGTCGTAATTATATAATTATTTAATTAACCACGCATGAGTATAAAAAAAAAAAAAATTATTATTAATATACAACGTCAATAGAACCAAAAAAAAAAAAAGTATTTAATTAAAAAAAAAAAATGTGAAAGGTGAAAATGGAAGGAAAAAAAAAAAAAAATTAATTACCGTTATTACAGAATCTCTGGAAACTCCAAAAAAAACTAACCTATAACTAAATCTAAAGGAAAAAAAATCATTAGAAACAATAAAATTAATAATTATTACCTCAAGCATATCGGAAAAAAAAGATTTTTTAGGATTTTAAAAAACTTGAAACCTGGAATCGACGGATTTAAATCGCGAACTCGCGTGCGCGTGTAATAATAATAATAATAATAATAATAATAATAATAATAATGATAAATAAATTTAATATGAATCAATTACACTGAACTACGTTACAAAATTGATTTTTTTCAAGGATTTGTACGAGGGGTCTATCCCCCCTAAGGGCGATACTCGTACGTTCGTTAAGATTAACCCAAGTAAATGGATCGATTTGAGGTTCTAAAACTGTTCGATTTATTTCGCGAACAAGTTTAAAATTTTTATAACCCAAATCCTGACATAAAAGTTTTAAATTTTCCGCGGATTCCGACCGTAGGCACACGTTATGCCATTTACCGTAAGAATTACGAAGAATTTCATATTCGTTCCTGTAAAAAAAAAAAAATATTAAATAAATTCTTACACGAAAAACGTGAAATCATTTTCATAAAAAAAAATTTAAAATAAATACAGTTTGTGGACTTACGTGATACCGCTTTTTAATATTTTTCCACTCAAACAACCTTCTTCGTCGTCTCCTTGAGGACAATCTTTTTCACCATCGCATACATAATCTAAAGGTACGCAATTATTCGTCCTGGAAGAAAAAAAAATAAATAAACAAGGAAATTAAACTTGGAATCGAATAAAATTTATAAAAAAAAATATTTTATTTACCCTCGACATTTATGGTTATTATTATGACAATTACAAAAAATTAAATTTTCATCCGTTTTATCCAGGCAATTTCTTATTCCGTTACATATTTTATTTGGAGCTGTTAATCGTAGATATTCCAGACAAGTACCATTAATTGGTTCGTCACTGTTATCACCACAATCGTCTTTTCCGTCGGCATAATATTTTTTCGATATACACAAACCGTTTTGACATTTAAGCTCCGATGCGTCGCACTCTAAAAAAAAAAATTAATTTTAAAATTTATCACATACTATTATTATAACGTAAAAAAAAAAAAAAAAGAATTTTCAACCATTGATTTTCGTTCGAGGTTTACACTTTTCAATTGATTCATCTTTTCCAGTTGGACAATTTAATAATCCATCGCATAAATTTGATAATCCGATGCATAAACCGATCGGACATCGAAAACCGTCGCAACTGGGCTCTACAATTGTTTCCATTTTCTCATCTAAAATTTTATTAAATATTTAAATAAATGAAAGAACATAAATAAAAATAATATTTTTAAAAAACCACATAATTACCCAAAACATCAGAAATGGCATCGAAGTGATATTGTAAACTTTTAAATTTAAAATTTTCAAAATCACAATTTTCTTTTTCTAATTCAAATACCGATGATAGGTACCATCCGACGCGAGATTGACAAACTATGACACCGATTCGAGATTTGCACGTGAAATTTTTCAACGTCAAACGTTTATAACAAGTAAATGATTTAGGACAATTTTTAATAGTTGCCAAAAGGGAATTTTCATGAGTTAAACTCACGCAAATATCACGATCGGAATCTGTATCGGACTCAGTAATTTTAATTAATCCAACAGGACGAACAAATTTGGTCGTTATTGTCTTTTCTGCCAAATGTAAAAGTCCAACATTTTCTTGTATTAAAATTTTAAAACCGTTTATTCTAATTATTTGAACATTATTTCCATCATTTATCGTTTTTTCTATGCCAAATGCTGCGGACACGTAATTTTTTGATAATCTAAAACAAAATTAATTTTCTTATATATATATAAAAATTACTTGAATCAATCGATCGATCGGGATTCGTTAAAAAAGATTTTTTTGGACACTCACTCTATATTTTTCAAACAGGCAGAAGACGTTAAAACCCATTTGGAATCAATTAAAACTCCAGTGCAAATGAGGACACCATCCGAATAAATGAATGCTTTCCATGGAAAATAATATTGTCCTTGAGGACGACGATAAGATTCCAAAGATGTTTCTGGTCTGTTTATACATGATAAATAAAATGCCGTACAATTGGTAGATATTGTAAAATTTCTGAATTTTTTACATCCGATCCATCCTAAATCCAAACAAATTTTATTTCCGTCTTCTTGATCAAAATTAATTATTTCTTCTTTACATAAAAATTTTTTCACTCCATTTTTGTTTATCACGACAAATCCTTTTTTATTTATCGAATCTCGTTGATAATTTTTAGAAAAAAAATTTTTTTTTTCTAAAAGATAATAACAATTTTTTTCATCTTCTCCAAAGCGACACTTTTTTATTCCGTTACATTTTTCCCATAGAGGCAAACGTTCTCCGCTTAATTCGCATTCGTATTCTTTGTCCAAACAGTTTTTCGAGTGATTTTTAATAAGAAAACTATCATCTTCCGTTTGTTTTTCCTTCGGCTGATGGGATGTAATTTTGTAATTTTCTATATTCGTCAAACAAGGGCAATCCAATTCGTCCGAACCGTCTTGACAATCTTTTACACCGTCGCAAATATGCTTTTTTAATATCGATTGTGATATTTTTTTACAATAAAAATAATAATTTTCTTCACCGCGAATATTTTCCGAAAATTGATTTCCGTTTATTTCCACGGGCCTAATCTCTGATTCAAGTGAAAATTTATTATTATTATTATTATTATTTTTTATAGCGTCAAAAGTATAAACTCTTTTGGATTTAAAATTTTTCACGTCTTGCGATGAATACAAATTTTCGGTAACTTTTAATGCGGCATCATCGACGTCAAATTTATCGTTTTTTTTAATTGGATTTCCGTTTTCTATGATTTCTCGTTCCTCGTTGATGCTTTCCGAATTTTCCGCATTTTTTTTTTTAATTAAATTTAATTGCGATAAATACTGATCATAATAAATATCAGTCGTACAATTTTTTTCATCTTCGGCTTCTAAACAGTCCGTGTATCCGTTACATATCCACTTATACGGAATGCATAGATGCGAACCAGAGTTGCAACGAAAGCTCGGACAATCTCGTATGGGTTTAATGGCAGGTACTTTATAATCACGAGCGTTTGCTGTTATCCAATCCAGAAATAAACCTATTCTAGTATAAGCTCCCGGTTCTCCCGGTCTGGCACATCCCTCGCCGTGACTTACGATCCCTGCCACGTACCAAGAAAATGACGTTTTCGAAGTTCTAAAAATAAAAAATTAATTTTAAATAATGTTATTATAGCAAATAATGTTATGATACGAAATAAAAATTTGTTTACCTGCACAGTAGTGGACCTCCACTATCTCCTTGACAGGTGTCTTTTCCTCCCTCGGCTTTACCAGCACAAATTTCTGCTCCGGCCAAATCTTCTTTGTGTTTGCAACTTTTCAGTATAGGAACTTCAACTTCTCTAAGTTGATCAGCTGTGAATGAATGCACGTTATTAATGAATGAGACGTAAATAAATAAAGAGGAAAATAACATTAAAGATTCCGACCATCGATCCCGTGTTCTTTTAATGCTCCCCATCCAACAGCAGTGCATCGAGTGCCAGGAACAGGAAAAAAAAATCCTTGGTTTCCGCGAAAACCAGGAAGGCAAGCAGGTCTCACCCATCTATTGAAATAAAAAGGTTTTTGCAATCGTAACAAAGCGAGATCGTTGCTCATGATCGTTGGATTGTAATTTTCATGTAAAATAACATCGCGAACACTCCGAACTTGTTCCATTGATGAAAAGGAAAACCTTCTAAGCATTCCTCCTCTGACTTCGTAATAGTTTTTCCAATACCTGAAAATAATTTTTTCGTTAAGGAGTTTTGTTGGGGAAAAAAGTTTCAAAATTCACTCCCATATATTTATACGCACTGTTCCATGCAATGAGCAGCCGTTAAAATCCAAATTTCGTCTAAAATTACTCCTCCGCATAAAAATCCGCCATTTTTATGAATTGCAACGGTCCACGGCCAAGCACGTGGTTCACTTTCTCTACCCCCCACTACCCTTCCAGTTTCTTCTCTGTTAGGCCTGCGGTTAAATTTTGTATAGTTTTTTAATATTGATAAATCTCTTTTATAATTATTTTCGACGGAAACATTTTTGATATCCGAAAAGTTTTTTGATTGAACGGCGGAACTTTTACTAATAAAAAAAGTTTTTTCATCGAATCGTTTGAAACGATTTTCGATTTCTTGCAAACTGTAAAATTCCGCTCTCGTTCCACATTTTATTTTGGGACATTGAACGTAAGTCGATAAATGTCCCTTGCAATGATCCTGCAACAAATGCGTTCCATCTTCCAGGCGAACAATAAAAGGCCCTTTATAATATTCGGGAACGGACATGAAATTCACTTTGACTGAACTGCGATGCACGATAAAAATAAAAAATAATTCGTTTTAAAATTAAAAATTAATCGGAGTAATAATATAATTATAAAAAAGGCTTTCGAAGTTATTACAAAATGAAAAAATTAAACTCACGATGGTCTGTATCCCAGATCCGAGGAACACGCTTCTTTTGCCCATTCGTCGTCGCTTTGAACATCCACACATACAGGATACCATATGCCTTTCCAATTACGATGTAAATATCCTTTTAAATAAGATACGTGAAAATAATTATTATCGTGCATTTTATAAAAAAGAGCCGAACAATCGGTTTCGTCGCTTCCGGTGGCACAATCTCTAACACCGTCGCATCTTTGACTTAAAGAAATGCATGAATCGGGGCTTACAATATCGTTGCAACTAAAAGCCGTTTTCGGACAATCTGAAAAAATTATAATTAAATTAATTTTTTTTTTTTTTTAATAAACGAGTAGAGTATAATACTTACCTAAACATCCGATTTCATCTTCTCCGTTGGGACAATCGAAATACCCATCGCATAACCTTCCTTCTGCTATTCTTTCTCGACACGAGCAAAAAGCTTCGTCACTTATATCGTTACAGTGAACTTTGTTATCGCACCAAAATGATGCAGGAATACAACTTGATCCGTCCCTGCAAGGAACTTCACCGTCGGAACATTGAGAGATCAATCCTAAGGACAAAAAAAAAAAAAAATTTGAAGGAAAAATTTTTTTTATAATTTATAGAAGTAATAAAAGAAAAATTTTCTAACCTGACGTAAGTGAACTTTGTTTAGATAAATTATCATCTGGTTTTTTATCATCGCAACCGAAGCATTTGGCTTGACCGAAATCAGCCGTTCCCGGGACTGTCGGGAATTGAAACAAGGGCGGTTGAAAGTTTGTGCAAAAAATTGGCGGAGTGTTGGGAATGGAAGAATAGCCAGTCGACGACGTCGTTTGTTGTGAGGGAACGTGAAATGGAAAATTTACAAAAGGAAATTGACTCTGAGGAGGAGGAGGAGGAGAATTAGCATAGTTATTTATGTTAAAACTTAAAAAATTATTATGTCCGGATGATGATGATGATGAGTCGAAGGGTTTTGAATATTGAGATTTATCAAGGAAAGGTGATTGCAAAGAAAATGCGCTTAAAGGTAAAGTTCTACCCTCAATGCTACGAATGGATGGTTTTAACGAAAAATGAGGGGGGGAAGCAAATAAACATATTTGATAAGGGAAAACTAATTGAGAGGCTCCGCTTGGAGTAAATGACAGCTGCTGTCCGGTTTTTAATGTTTCGTAAGCATTTTCCGGTAATTTTGAAACTTCAGGAGCAGACGGTAGTCCAATATTTGTCGAACCTCCTATTACTCTGGCATTTAAAAACAAATATTTTCGATCCATTTCTTTTCTTTTCATGGCTTCTGCCAAACTGATGCCATCCACTGATTCCATAAGTTCATCATTTTCAAAATCGTTTGACGACGGACGTTTGTTATAGTTTTCAAAATCATAATCAGTCAATTGCGATTCGACTTCTTTTACTGGATTTATTACTTGAGATTTATTATTATTATTATCATCGAATAATTCAATTGGATTCCTATTAATTTCGACCGCAGATTTTGAGAAAGTCGAACTGTGGTTGCTAGACAATATTATTTTACTTGAGTTTATTCCGGATGCGTTTTTATCATTATTATCTGGCATCGAATCTTGAAAATTTAACTTTTCATTATTTTTATAATAAAAATTTTTATTTATTGATTTATAATTTTTTTTATCCAAATCCTTAAATTTAATATTACCAAATTTGTAATTAATGCTTTTTCCCTTTTGATTATTTATTATTTTTTCCGATGATTTTCCGTTAAATTTTTCAGGTACAAATTTATTAAAAACATTCAGGTTCGTGACATCCTCATTTGAATATTTATCATAGTCTTTAGTTTCAAATGATTCATCTTTGTTATCCAGGCATAAAGTGAAAGGCAAAGTTGTAAAAGGTTGAAAAACTGTTTTTGTTTTTATATTAAAATCATTTCCGTGTACGACCATGTTCTTTTTAATATCACCCCATTTTTTATTAAATAAATCCTTTGTAAGAAGAACATGTGAATTTTCTTCTATTTTATTATTAAATCCTTCATTAATTAAATTTTTATTTATTTCTTCTGATTCGAGAGATCTTTTATGAACTTTTGATTTTATTTTTTGTAATTTCATAAACGACACATTTTGTAAATTTTTTTTTCTCATAGAATATTTTAATTTAGTAATTTTAAAAAATGGATAACGTTCAAGATTTGAAATTTTTATTTCGGGGTGTTTAATTAAAATATCATTTTCCTTTAGTTTTTCTTTTTTCCTTTCCGTTTCACTTGATAAATTATCATCGTCAACTATCGAATAATAATTATGATGAGTAGTTAATTTATTACTTAAAATGAAACCTAAAGTTAAACGATTACCTAAAATATAATAATTTATTTATTTAAACGATGTTTATTCCTAAAATAAATTTTTTTTTTTTTTGTAAAAATACTTAACAATAAATAAAACAAATGAATTTTAAAACTTTTAAACTTTGTGTGGTTATTTCAATGATGGGTGTTCAATATGTAGACAATTAGATTAATATATATAAAAAATAATACCTTGAATCAAATTGATGAAAAGCAGACAGAAAAAAAAAGAAGTTGCTATTATAATTAAATATATAAAAAATGTTTTGTAAAAGACCATTTGAATCAATCAATTACATTCACTTAAAATTATCAATAATAAAAATTAAGTTTTTGAATTTTTAATTCTTGATATATTCAAGATGTTTTCTTTCCCGAATAAAGAATCTATAAAAAAGAAAATTTAGTTAATTACTTTTTACAATGTACAACTTACAACAATTTTTTTTTTTTTTTACATAAAAAATATTATTAAATAAACATAAGTTATACAAACCTGAGTTTCGAACCTTAAAGAAAAAAATTTATTTTTATTGAATAATACCTAGAAGAAAATGTGACAAAAATTTCATTTAAATTAAATTCGATTATTATCATTCTGTGGAAAATTTAAATTTCTATAAACAAAAAAATGAATTAAATTAAATAGTTTATAATTGAAAAGGTTTTGCTTTAAATTTAAATATTTACATATACTCCTCAATCAAATTGGACAATGCATTATTTTCCACAAAATATAATTGCGTAACAATAAAATATTATTTTCATTTTAATAATTAAATAATAAATAATAACAACAACAACAATAGTAAAACAATAAACAATAAATTTTTTTTACCTGAATTTAATAACAGAAAAATTTAAAATTAACACTTTCTAACTAAAACTTTACTCATTTTTATTAAAGATTAATAATTAAAAATTGCATTTTATTTATTTATATCTATATTATTTAAAATTACTTGTTGCAAATGCATATAAATGCTGTACTAAAATAAAATATAACGTTTTCCTTATTTTTATTTTGCTTATATGTTATTATTTTTAAGAAATGCAAAATCAACTCAAATATTTTGAAAATTTTTTTTTAAAAAACATAGCAATATTTTAATTAAAACTAACAATGGCACGTTAAAAATTGCCACTTCAGTAAAATTAAAACAGTCAATGACATTAAAAATTATAATTTTTATCATTTATTTATAACAAAGTATGCAGGATAAAAATATAATTGTAAATAATAAAAAATTAAATTGAAGAGTTATTTTACTAATAAAATTAAAAAAAAAAAAAAAAAAAACCGATTTTAAAAATAATGTATTTTATGTAAGTATAATAATAAGTAAATCAACAGAAAAATTTAAAAATATTTGTCAAATTTTCATAAAATTAATTACTTTGAAATGAAATTGAAAAAAAGAATACTCATTCTTCGAACAAAGATTACAAGAAATAATTAATTATAAATTACCAATATTATATCAAAAAAAAAAAAAAAAACACTAATCGTTGTTATTCTTTTAAATAAAATAAATTAAGATATAAAAACAATAGTTAAAAAAGTTAACATCAAGTATAAATAATACATAAAATTTGAAATTTTTATTTACCTTTTAAAATTAATAACATATTTAATATGCAGTTTTTATTTAATAAAATTTATATTTTAAAATTATCATATTAAATATGAAAATGTCATTTATCAATTTTGATAATTTATGTTTTCTAAAAAAATAAAACTTTAATAATAATTTCAAATATGTTTAATTGTGTTTATGATAATGTTTTCATCATCGTAAAACAACAATTTTTCAAGAAAAAATGAATAAATTTTCCCATTAAATTCAATCAAATAAGAAAATTTACAATTTAAAAACCTTTTACTTTTTTTGTTAAAAAAAATTTGTTGGAAATTAAAAATAATAAAATTAAAACTGATGTTTTCAATATATATTCATAATTTTAGAGTAAAAATATTGTTCCAAGTTTCAATTGCTTTCAAATTTTATTGTAAAGCAATTGTTTTTATTTTTTAAACAATTAACTTTTAACAGAATTAATGTCATCCTCCAATTTCTTTTTAGTATACCTGACTAATTTAAAATTCTGAAGATATCGCAACTCACCAGACCATTTTTTCAATAAGTCTAGTTGTGCAGGATTTAACACATCAACCATTTCTACAAAAATTTAAAAACAAACAAATCGTTTAATTAATTTCAATATACAATTAATCAATTATAGATCATAGAAAAAATAAATATATTTAAATTAAAATATGACTTACCAATTCCACATGTATTATATTCTGTTTCTTCGTTTGTGATAGTCATTTTAATAATATCTTCCCTGTTGGCATGCTGTCTTCCTTTTCTCTTACTAATAGAATGTTTCAGTTGAATTTGTTCTAATTCAGCGTTAAATCTCCCTAAATAACTAACTGATAAAAATTTATTTTAATCCACAAAAAAATTGAATTAAAAAATGTTATTATTTTATAGTCAATTAAAAACTCGATTATATTTCTACAATTAAAATTTATTCTCATTTTATACATTTTTAAATAAAGGATTGATTGACATACCTTTCAATTAATTTTTTAGTCATCTGTGGAGTGTAAATATCAACTTCTTCTAGATTTTTCTTAAACCACAATAGTCTTTCTCCCAACAGATTAACTTTCATTTGGTGACGCAATTTCGATTTTTCTCTGGCCGCTGCTCTAAAAAATTCATAAATAAAAAAAGTTTTTAGAATTTAAAATATATATATGTGTGTGTGTGTGTGCGTTTGTGTGAAAAATTACTACTTACTTAACTATCTTTTTAGACAATTGGGATACTTTTCTACCTTTGGGATGAGGAAGTTTATTCATTTTATTGACATTTTTATTTGATACTTTACCCTAAAATGAAAATGAAAACCCAAAATCATATATTTTTATGAAAGTACCTCGAAATACAATTTACAAAAAATTATAAATTTACTTACCATTATAATTTTTAAATCTGTGAAAGTCCGTACAAAATTGAAAAATTTAACGCAAAAAACGTGGACGCACGTGTATTTAATTGTCGACAATTTTTATTCCTCTCCGTTCCCTCGCTTTTAAATTGATAAAAAAAAAAAAAAAAACTTTTGCCGAAATTAAACAACCTTTTTTCTATAGATTAGATTTATTATTTCCGTTATTATATAAATCGGAAATTATTTATATGTAATTAAAAAAAAACGTGCATTTGATAAATGTCGAACTCTAATAAAAATACAATCTACTTTTTCGCGCCTTGGCAAGTCGTGGAAAAATCAATTTTTCCACGTGTTTACTGTTTCAAAATAATTTTTGGTTTTTAGAGTACAAAGAAAATTATTGATGCATCATACAAAAGGAAATTTAAACGATATATTTCCAACCTACGGTACTGGCAATTATTTCGACAAATTTTGTACTGTGTATTCATCTTTTTGGTTATCGACAAAAAAAATTCATATAAATAGGTATAGACATGATATTTATGAATTTCTCCCATTACCCTTAGGAATAGTCATAAAAAATGAGAATTTAACAATATGTAATAACTACGAAAAGTGTTATACTGCTTCAAGCTGTATCACAATATGTCACAATAACAAGGAAAGTTTTATAGTATTACATATTTACCATTGCTAGGTAGGAAATTTAAAAATAAAACAAAATACTCCCCCCCCCCCTTAAATTTCTATTTTTATAAATTTATTTTATTTTTTTCTTTTGAATTTAGCTTTTATCCAAGTTATTTTTATTACGTTATATAACATTTTGGTCAAATATCAATTTATCACTTTATTGTCATTTGATTATTATTAAATTATTTTCTATATAGATTTAAATTTTCCAGCAGCCTTTGATTTCATACAGTATTCATCATAATCACACATAAATTTTTCTCATTTATCAAATATAAGTTATAAAATAATTTTGAAACACATTTTATTTTTTAAAACTTGACTATAAAGAAAAAAATTCATTAATGTTTTTTTTTTTTCTTGTAACAAAAAAAAAATTTAGATTTATTTATTGATTTTGTTTATTATCAAGTATTATCTATAATTTATAGTTGTTAAACTATTCCGATTTCTAAACACACAAGTTTTTTATCACATGATGGTGAATAATATTATGATAATATACTCCTTTGAGTAGATTAATCAAAATTTTAAATTAGCTGTAGATCAACATCGGTAGAGAAACATACACTTTTCTTTAACCTAAGAAAATTAAAAAACAATTTTTGTTTGACATCATAAAACATTTTTTTATTTTTATCATCAGTCAATTCTGATTAATAATTACATTTCATGTACTCTGTCAAATTAATAGAAAAAATTTATGTAGTTTAAAAAACATGAACTAATGAACCAACACTCGACAAAAATGTTATGACAAGAGTCAAATATAGTTAGTGAAAAAATAATAATAATTGAAAAACGATACACTAAAATTAGTTGTTGAGAATTTAAATTACAATAAGGATGAAATTATTAGTAAAATTTAACTTTTATACATAAGAAAAATTTTATTTGATGTATAAAATGTCATTTAATTACAACATATCAAAACAAAAACATTTGAAAATATTTTTTTTTTAAACGCCTATTTATTATTTATTTCCTATCAATTATATCAACATAATCATGATAAAAACAATTAATAATTAAAATGGCACTTAAAAATTGGCAATATTATACTCCACCAAATTTATATTTAAAATATATATATATATATATGGTCATCAAGACAATTGTGAATCGCTTTGAAATGATTTGAATTTTTTTTACTGATTAGTTAGTTCCTTATACATAATTAATTTTTTATTTTTGAATTTTTTTTTCTTTTTTTTTAAATTATTTCATATTTAGCTTCATCTGTTCACGGGAGCATACATAAACATTTTTTTTTTTTCATTTTATCAAATGAATAATTAAAAATTTCACATGTCCATTTGAAATTGTTCCTGAGTATCATCGACTGATGAATCAGTTTTTTCTTTCTGATCTCCGCTTGAATTTAATTTTTTGCAATTTTCATTATTTGGTTTTATAGCTTTACCATTAGAAACCCCGTTAACCATAGTGTCCGGAAATGTATCAAAATTTTTTGGAGGAGTTCTAGAAAGTGGAGAATTGCGAAGATTTAAAATAAAATTTCTTTCATAAACTATTCTTGTACCTGAAAAAAAACAAAAAACGTTAATTTAAAATTTAAAAAAAAAAAAAAAAAAGATCAAACCTAACCTTATCTTAATACAAGAGAGCGGCAAAAAAAAAAAATAAATAAAATTACATATTCAACCTTGAAATAAAACGTAAAAATAGTAATTTTTCCATTACAGACAAGGGAATAAGTGACCCCTATCGAGATGAATTGCAAATAAAAGCGAAAAAAAAAATTACGCAGCAGCGAAATAGACTTAATTACGCAACCGAATGATCGCAACACACACAAAAAAAGATCTTAGAAATTATTTTAAAAAAAAAACAAGTTTTTTTAATATTTTATTCTAAATGATGTCATAATAAATCTGTAAAATAACGACCTCATTGAACGAAGAGAACAGAACCAGAATATCGCGTTCTTGGCGCCTTTGAAAATTCAAAATGAAAAATGAGGAAATGTATATATTTAATTTTAAAATAAACAAATACACTAAAAATAAATATTTAAACCCGCGTTGAAGTTAAATTTAAAAGTTAATATTCAATAAATCGAAATAAAATTTTCAAGTTTTATACAAAACGTTATTTTTCCACGAGTAAGAAATTAAAAATTTTCATATAATGATAAGTAACATAAGAGTCATGAAGAATTAAATAATAATAATAATAATAATAATAATAATTTTCTTAGAAAAAAGTCTTTCACGTTATGATAATACCGTGAAATTTGAATAGAATTATTTAAAAAAAAAAAAAAAAAAGAAGAGAGAAAAGCATAAAAAAAGTATAATTCATTATTTTGCTAAATCCAATAAGTTTTAATACACATGATCTGAAAACAAGAGTATTTTAGCTAAATAATTCATGTAATAAAATAAATTATTATTTATTTATTAGCATGCAAAAACTTTTTAGCTTATTACAACTTATTTAAATAAACTGGTTAAGATCAGTTAAATTTCCAGTTGGCCAAAAAAATATTTTTTTTTTTTTTTCAAGGCATTCAACATGAAAAAGAAACTATTCTATGCTAAACAAGCAATTTTCATTAGTAATAAAAGTAAAAATAATTGTTAAAAAACTTTTCAAGACATTTTCCTAAGCATTTTATGGCACCAAAAAATTTAATACTTTGTTTAAAATATTGAAATATTTAACAGATAAAAAAAAAAAATCTTGTTTTAAATCTCGAAGAAAAATTTTTTTTCATTTCCAATATAACCCACAGACTTTGTGAAGGAAATTATAACAAAATTATAAGGAAAAGAGCCTTTTTCAGTACAAAACTCAAAATCAAACATCAACTAATAATAATTTTAATAAAACAATAACTCATCCCTTCATTTGTTTAATTTATCTTAACCATATGTTTTAAAAACTAAAGACACAATTTAAGCAAGTAAAACTTTTCGAAAAGAGTACTTCAACACCAAACATTAACACGAGTATTTAAGTAATGTTTTATCATGATAAGAAATAAGAAAATTCAACACTTATATACAATATGTATAATAAGAAATTAAAATTTTGAATTCAAACTGAAAAACTAAAATTTTGTTTAAAGTTATGCACTTTACTTTTTTTAACCTTTAAAAATGAAAAAAACATGTGTATATATATATATGTATATGTATAAAGATATAAAGTAAAAAACCTGCCTCCTGGAGTAGTAGAAAAAAGTGTTCCCCCTGGTGTAGTAGAATAATCATGTGGAAGTTGTGAAGCATCATTAACGACGACACGTCTTGATGGAATATTTTGGCAATTGGTTGTTTGTCGTGCAACAGGAGACGCAGACATTTTCTAATTTTTTTTTTTTTTTTAAATTATCGGTACAAAAAAAAAAAAACTAATTTTTTTAAAATAAAATAAAAAGGCCCTGAATAAAAGGTAACAACAACAGCACGACAGAAAATATGAACTATGTTAAAAACCACTGAATCGAATTACTAAAAAGCATGAAAATAAATACACAGCGTATACGCCTTCGATGAAATTAAAAACACATTTTTAACTTTGAAAACAATCAAAATTTCAATTAAGCATCTTGTGTTACAACAAAAAAATTTCTTTTTTTTTTAAATTTTCAAAATATTGATAAATTTTAAAAAGACTAGTTTATTTAAAACAAATATATTTCACAGATGGAAATAATTATTTTTATTAAAGTTATCACATTCACGATTTAAAACGTATAAAGTTTTTTTTTTTTTAAAGAATTATTTACACCTTCGTAGTAAAATTCATCTGCGCAGTTATATGATTAGGTTCAGGGGCAAACCAATGTATTTTCACTGATTATTTAAAATTTGTCTCTCTTACGATGATATTATTTTTTAAAAAATTTAATTTTAATATTATTTTAATGAGGTTTAATTATAATAATAATAATATTTAAAATCAGCAAAAAAAAATTTAAACGAAACGCTTAAAATTGCTTTAATCATAAATAAGTTATGTCACTTTTGTTGGATATGAACGTTAATAAACTTATGGGAATCCTAGTAAAACACGCACCCAAAACGTATAAACGTTGTAGTCATTAAAAAAAAAAAAACAAAATTATTAATCCCAATAATAATTTCTTTTTTTTTGCTTTATTCGCTACTTAAAAGTTGATTATTTAATGTAAAAAAAAAAATACATAAACTGTTTTGATACATGAGGAAAAATAAAATAAAAATTCTCAAGGTCAATTAGGTCGCCAGTCTCGCGAAAGACAAAAAAAAAAAAAAAAAAAAAAGACTCATTTACGATGGGCTTATCATTATATTTACATGCGTATATTATAATTTAAACAAAATTGTTTTTGTTTTGTTTATAAAAACCCTATGAATAAATTTTAAATTCAACTTTTTTTTATTT